CCGAGGTATAATGGTTTATCAACATCATTCTTTAATCTCTCAAACATCTCAGGACAATCCCTAAGATCCTCTTCAATCACATCAATCATTTCATCAAGACGATCAACATCATATATTCCACTACTATGATCAAATGTTGAGTAGCTCGCACTATCCCTCCAATCACTTGCATTATTCCTTGTCTCCCCATGCATGGTCCAACAAGTATAAATTGGATCAATCCCATTACATATTAAATAATCTTTCAATTCTATTGGCTTTACTCTTTTTCCATAGCAACATTTTAAACAAGGACATATGACTTCATAGGGGTCTTGATCACGACAAAATGCAAATTCAATGACTTCATTCACACCATAGATCCATATCACTAATATGATTACCAAAATTCAATAAACAAAAGACTTAGATTTCTATAAAAAAAAATTCAACAGCATCTTCCTTAAAAGAACAACCACCCAAATGATCAAACAATTGAATTCCACAACACAATACATTTAAACTAAAAAAATAAATTCATTCAAATAAAAATTTAGTAGCATAATGCATCTAAATTCTGTCAATCAATTGTAATTTAATTAATAATAATAATCTCCCTTAAAAGTACATTTCATAAATAAAATAAAAGTATTCAAGTAGTTTCCTCAACTTTAATCTAAATTATCAACTACAAATACTTCATAATTTTAATATAAATAACTTCAATTCATATATTATATATAATATTGATTATTAAAAAAATATTTGAAGTTTATTCTCAAATATATATAAATTAATTATTAAAAAATACCTTTAAAGTGTAGTCTTCACGGCAGAAAATGGCGGTATTCATGACCGCAGCGACGTTGCTTCCTCCTGTGTACAGTAGCAGCACAGATCTGCAACAACAATGCAAATTTAGAACAGAGATGCAGATATGGAACAGAGATTCAGATCTGGAACAGCAAACAGCAGACAAAAAATAGCAGACAGCAAACAGCAAACAGCAAATAGCAGAGACAGATGGATGGCGACGGTGATGAAGACGATAGAACGGACAGCAATGGCGACACAGGAGAGGGAGATAGTGTGGCGACGGTGACAGTGATGCAGGAGATGGACGGTGATGCAGAACAGAAACAGAGATAAATGCGCGACACAAAGAAGGAAAGAGCAACAACAGCAAACTGGAACAGCAAACAGCGATGATGATAGACTAATACAGCAAAGATCTAGAACTTGTTGGGAATGTGGGGCCTCAACAAAAGAGAGAGAGGTTTGAAAGAAACTGAATGGAGAAAAGAAAACTGACAGAAAATAAATAAAGGCTGGAAACACTCTTCCGGAGCTCTCATTAAAGAGCGCTCCGGAAGAGTTTCGGAGCTCTCTTCCAGAGCGCTCTAAAAGAGCTCTTCCGGAGCTCTCTACCAGAGTGCTCGTTCATGAGCGGTCCGGAAGAGTGCTCTGCCGAGCTCTTCCAGAGTGCTTAAGTACGAGCGCTCCCGAAGGTATTTTTAGATTTTTTACAATATTTTATATATATTAATTAGGAGCGTTATCTTATTGAGAAGCCTGACATACAGGAGCGCTTATTTAGAAAAGCATTCCGGTAAATTCCACATTCACATTTTAGAGCGCTTATTTAAAAAGCGCTCATAAATACCCGCTCCTAAAGATATATTCTATAGTAGTGCTTATAAGTTTAAATGAGAATTAACCAAGAATATTTCACAGCAATGAGAATTTCTTGGCTCCATTGTTACGTGGTATTGGATTTAATTTAATAAAATTTGAATTTTATTTAAAATTTGAAATCAAATTTATTTTGGTTATAAAATGCTTTGCCTAGGGGTCAACATTTATTTATGATATTGCATGGACTTGAATACTTATAATTTGGCGATTGACTACAGGAAAATTAGATTGGAATATTGATATAAAAAAATAGTCCGAACCATTACTAAATATTGACCCAAATCTAAATTGATAACCTAATGAATGGGTACCCGGATTTATGAACTAATAAATATGAAAATGCACCTGCATTATTTCTTAAAATAAGAAAATTAAATACGGACTCTAGAATGCTTGAATAATTGGTAATTAATCAACAACCCTTACATGAATTAAAAGTGTAAGATATTATATTTAATTTAATGGCTAATAAAATTCTAAAATAGCTATCAATGAATTGTAGACTTAATAAACTTCCAAATGATAATAACCAATAAATCAACAAAAAGACTTACTAAACTAATAACCTGATAAATGCGGAATAGGAAATCATTCTTAAAATAAACTAATTAAATGCCTTCCTGTGAGATCTTGAACTTGAAGTCAACTATTAATGGAGTTGAAATTAAGATCAACTATGATATGGTACGATGACAAGATGATGATCTTGACCTATTAATAGAGATCTTCCAGTACGCGTTTCTGACGGCAAGCACACCTGAAGTATTCAATATTAGGGTGATCAAGATTAAACAATACATGAGTTGCATTGTAGTAATTTCAAAAAACAACCGACCTGCAAAGTAAATTTATTTAATAAGTCATCAAATAGTCTAGGAAGTCGGTCTATTTAATAAGCCAACAATTAACTTAATTAAAACATGACACTAAAACATTACCTTGGGTCGAGCAAATTGCAAAGACGGCAATTACACGGCTCTTGTACTACTCGATAATAGCAAACCATGCAGCAGACCCAAGAAGGATTCAATCAAATGAATTACCACCTAAAAAATGCAGTACTCTTTTAGTGACCTTTCAAAAATAACCAGGACAATAATAGCAAATGCAACTATTGAATATAAATATCAGAAGAATTAAAAAGAATTACTCACCAATCGTCAATTATTGCAAAATTAAATTGATCAATTTATGTGCCACAATGCTTGATTGGGAGATAGTCACCTACTCTAGATATGAGTCCAAAAACATCTGGATGACAAATTCTCTAATTAGAAATCAAAAAACTATAAAGTCCTGTTTGGTATACTGGAATTTGAAGCATGAAATTGGAAATGGATATGAAATTCTGAAAAATATTTGTTTGGTATTATGAAATTTGAAAATTTTCCATTTCCATATCCACCAAAATCGCTGGAATTGGCTTCCATGATACACTCCAAGGATTTCAAATTCTTTGTTCCATTCTCTAATTTTACCCCCTTCGGTCTCAAGCTTCTTGCTTTCTCAACTCCGACAACCTTCTCCCCATCCACCGGCGACCTTCTTCACCCTCTCCGATCCCCCCTTCCTCGCCAATAACCTTCTCCCCCCTCCGATCCTCCCTCCTTCTTGCCAGTGACCTCCTCCATCTTCAATCCTCCCCCCTCCCTGCTAATGACCTCCTTCATCTTCGATCCTCCCTCTTCATCTCCATTCATCGGAGGATAACCTACCTCAGTGCCCACGCATGATTGCCTCTAGGTAACCCGCCATGGATGTTGAACATAAGAGCTTCGAAGTCATACATTATTTTTCGACAGACTGTAACAGCCCTCCGCTCACCCCGCCTCCCCGAGGTCTTTTGCGACGCTGGACACTCTCCCTCCAAGCCCCACAACAGGGCGACCCCACCCGTTACGGTGAGCATCAGGAGACAAAGGCTTCCCCGCAGTAGTGTGCGGATTATTCCCCTTGCGGAGAGCCTCCCCTAGTTCGATCCTCCAACCTCTCCTACATAACAAAGTGACTCAATAATACCAGGTTCAGCCTCAACTTTATTATGTAGGAGAGGTTGGAGGATCGAACTTGGGGAGACTCTCCGCAAGGGGAATAATTCGCACACTACTGCGAGGAAGTTTCTAGAACATTTTAAAAACTTCTAGATTTTCTTAGATATTTCTAGATTTCTCTAAATAATTTTAGATTATTCTAGATGTTTCTATAACATTCTAGAAACATACTGAATCCTTCTTGAAAGCTCTGAAATTCTCTCTGTTATCTTGAAGGTCTTCAAAAATCCCACAACCTTGCGAGTTCTTTTATATCTGAACATAGGTTGTGACACTGTGCTCTCAACTCTGTTTCAAAGACTTGTCAATAGAGCTGTGTTGGTATGAGAGAGAAGATGAAATCGAAGAGGGGAGAGTGTGAAGCACACATAAGATGGGAGGTGTTTTTTGTTGTGAGTTCCATAAGTTTAAAAATAAACAGCCATGTAATCAAAATTGATGGAAGGCGTTGAATACTCTGTTTTTATAGTTAATAACTTTTTTTTTGCCCCACCAAATTGTACAGACTAACTAATACTTCTCAAAAAATAATTTATAACTAAATTTATACATTTATAAAAAAAATTTATACTTTTGAGTATACTCCCTTCTACAGGCATTTCATTAAAAGAATTATATTGAAATCCTACATAAGAAAATTAATTACTACAAAAGTTCATTGACTACTGAACTAAAGTTATTGCTCTATTATTAATGAACCTTATAGTAATTAATTTTTTTTTTGTATCGGATATATATGTAATTCTCCCTTTTTCATTTGTTAATATATGGAGTTCATTACGTACATGGAACCACAAACCATTTCCAAGTCATAGATGACAGATAATAACAAGCTCTTAGCTTATGTTTACCAATTACCTCTGTTCTTTTCTTCTCGTTGTAAAATATGTTTGCCACTTCTTACATATATTACATGGTTGTAAACTTGACATTGGTTGGTTTAAAAGTTCGCACCTGCTAGTTTTTTTTTTTTTAATGACTGTTTGACCTGTTATTCTAAATTTAAAACATATTCCACATTTAAACTTTTACAAGTAAATAAGCAATGATTAGTATTAAAGGATACTAACGTATTAAAAAAATGACTCGAGTGGATCATTAAGATTTAACATATATATTGGATGGATATAACTATTTTTTTAAAAAATAAATTATAGTAAATAATTTAAGTGGAGGTAAACAAGAGCATGGAACTACTTTCTTTACTAAATAAAACATGTAATTGTCAGTTGTGACACGCAAAAAAAAAAATGAACGAATAAAAAAAAATCATTTTATTAAAAAATTAATTATTCTCCTATATGAAAGAAAAGTCATTGCACTACAATCGTTTTTTGCATTCGTTTACTTCTATATCCCAACTAACATTTTATAATTACCACTGTGTCCCTCCCCTAGGTCTCCCCCACCACCCTTACCCAAGGAGGCAGCAAATCTCCATAACTCTGGCCACCATAATCTCCGTCCAAGTCATCTTCAAGCCTAACGGCTAGGGATTCAACGTCATTACTTTTGTCCAAGATTCCCTTCAATTGCTTGAAGCTCGGAACAAGCACCTTCTCTATCCATTCATCCAAGCTTGTTTGGCTTAGTCTCACTCCGCTAGCAATCTTTCGAAGAGCCTCCTCTTGTACTTCAATGCATATATCATTCTCAATCACGTCGGAAAATCTTCTCTCGACCGCGGCCATGAAACTGTGGCGAATGGCGCCGGCATCAATGGGCTTGAAGACGATGCAATCATCTACGCCATCCAACAGTTCTTGGGGTAGAAATAATGGAGTAGAGCTAGTGGGTGATTGGACGTTGTGAGTGAGATGGTTGTCTTCTTCATGATCCACCGTGAGGTCACTGGAATTCATTGAGCTATCTGTCTTGTCTTCGTCTGATTCTACAGCTTCGTTTAGATCAAAGGTTAAACCTGATGCATTTTCTTTTCGAGGCTTTGTGAACCTCTCTTCAATATTGCATAACCAATCTGGTCGACGCTTGGTTGTTCTCTTTGTTATAGAAAGTCGTAATTGCCAGCTCCTTCTTGTTAAATTGGCTAAGTTTTGTTCATTGATTGAAGTGTCATTTGCTATAAGGATAAACATGATGTTACCGAGACTGATTTCTCTGCCATGGGAATCACAAAACCGACCTTGCTCCATGGCTCGTTTTATACTGCCACGAATGAGTAAATCTGCTTCGTGGATGTCCTCCAAGATGATCACAGAAAATGGATTCCTCCTTATGGCTTCTGCTATTCGATCCAAAGCTGTTTTACCACGAACATCATGGACGTCGGTTTTCCGGTTGCCATGCCGTGCACCGAGCGAAAATGTGATCGGACTGGATCCAGATACAATCTCAGAAAGAGCTTCTGCCATCTTCTTCTTGCTTGCTCTATCGGAACCCAAGAACAAGAGCCACTTATCACCCTTGATCACTCCTCCTCGACGTTTTCCATTCCCCATTTTACATTGTGTCACAGTTGTTGCTATTGCTGATGCTGAATCTTTCTGCCACCATACCTTCTCTGTCAAGGCTTTAAGGAGCTTCTTAAAAGAGCCGTGATCCAACGATTTGTTGCTGTGAGTTTGAGATTCTGAAGAAATGCAGCCCAGAAAGGCCTTAACGTGAGTTGAATTGCTTGAGTTCGCTGTCCCAAGTGCCAGCTCGGTTGTCACTGGACTTCCCGGTGGGCTAACTGAGATTTTACTGGGTTGAGATTGACGTCCCAACAAGTTTTGATTGTAAAGGCTCATAGATGAGTGAGGAGTTGAAGCGTTTCTCTCTAAGCTGAGATTTTCCTGATGACATTTAGGATGCAAATGCAGGCATGTTTCGCGCCATTTCTTTTGCAATTCTTGAGTCTTCGTCATCCTCACTTTTTGGCTGTCACGCTATTGAAAGACAATTGCAAATATATGAGTATTTGTTTTATTTGAGGGAAAGGAATAGTCCAACTAAGTAGACAAAATTACCTGCATCATGATCTGAACCTTCATTTCATTGCCAGTTCTAGCATTTTGCAACCACTGTGGAAGGGATGATCGAATTGCTTCTGATGTAATGAAGGAATCATTTTTCTCAGTGTCTTTCAACACATCTGCTACTTCTCTCTCATAGCTCTGTGTACATTGTGGGCAGCACATTGTTCTTGGAGCGGAATCTGCCTTCTCATACCTCGGCTCCATTGTCGTACTAGGTAAGCCCTTTAAAGATTCAAGGGACACACCAAGAATGCCATTTGTCCCAAGCCTATTTATTGGAAAATACACATAGTTACATGGTATTAGCCGACACACTACAAACATGTTCTAGAGCTTAACCAAGCTTTTCAATGAAACATGAACACGGCATGCTTTACATTCAAAACAGAATTAATGGAATTGGAATTATAGGAATCAGAATTCATTAATTATAGCATCAGAACCTCCAAATTAAGAAAGCTTCTGCTTAGAAACTAGCAGTGTTTCAGAAAAGAAGAAGCAGCAGAAATGAAAACCTTGGAAACGTTTGAGGCAGAGGTGCTCTATCTGCAATTGGGACTGCTTGAAGATCCCAATCATTCTCCATGGAAGGGTGATAAACCTGACACCTCAGGTACGTCTCACATGTCGCAGTACCTATTAACCAAAGACGACATGTATCTCTGAACGTGGCAACAAGTTTTGTCATTTCTGCAACTATGGCTCGCCCAGTCTCTGTAAGGGCTTGTTGCTTCATGTTACTACTCGAACTAGCTGCTCCAATACCCACAGGCTGATCGACCAGCCATTTCAAGTCACCTAAGTTCAAGAAAACACCTCCAGAACCAGAATTGATTAAATCTCCCAGCTCCATCAGCCTTGCTGGTATTTGTGCTTTATCAGAAGGTAGCTCTTTCTCTAAGAAAATCGCGCGAGCTTTGTTGAAAGGCATCTCTTGCATCTCGTTATTCTCAATTTTTCTCAACAGTTCTCTCATCACTGAATTTGTCTCAGATTCACCCACCAAGATTGGGTTCCTCCTCTTTCTCCTCAACAATATATCAGTAATTCTTTTTGCTTCGTCAACCTTTTGCTGTCCCGATTGCAGCCTGGGATTCATATAGAAATTCGGACTAGGTGCCGCCGTCCTTGGCCGGATTCCTAGCCCAATTGAATTCGAAGTGATGTGGGAAGAGGAAGAAGAGAAATTCAACGACTTCTCCACCATGGCTTTCACGGCGGGACTGGAAAAACTAGCTTCCCTCATAACTCTGCTAACACTCGGGTCATCGAGTATGGATATGATGAGCTGTTCGAGCTCAACTTTCACGGCTAAGAGGGGTTGCTGCTGCTGCTCCGGACAGCCACGACGCTGATGAGCCTGAGCACGCTTGAGGGTAGCCATTAAAGCATTGGAAATGGGAGGGTCCGTCCCGGGAGTCATGTCGTGCGAAGTTTGCAATCGGTCCAGAGCAACACTGAAACAGAGCTCGAGGGCTCTGCACTGGAGAGGGTGAGACGAATGGGGGTGCGACTTCACACATGCTTGCCGGAGGAACCCAGAGGGCGAGGCCAGAAGCGTGGCGGCGACATGAAGCGGCGTCGTTTGGGTGTGGTTGCGACGACCCGCTTGGGCTATGGAATGGTTGAGAACAGTCACTGCTTCTGGCGTTAGAGTTTGGAGGATTGTGCTCAGCCCAGCTCTCATTTCCAGGAATGAAATTCCGATCAAAACACACAAATGAAATCCTGGTCTGATTCAAGAGTGAATGTTATCAGTAGCATATAGTGTGAAGGCCGGGCTTGTTGAGCAGTTTACTCTCAAGAAATTCAGGGTGAAGGCGTGTTACAGAGAAAGGTAGTAGTAGTCTAGTAGAGAATCGGCACAGAAGACGTCGGAGTGTGAAAGTAAAAAGGTGAGAATTTTTGGAAGATTACAGAGAATATGTAGAAGGAGGAGGAGGAAGAGACAGGGAGCGCGGCTGGGGGAAGCAGAAGAGTGGTCGTCAAACGGAACGCGCTGAAGGGGCGCGTGGTGTGTTCTGTGACGGTCACAGTCGCAGGTGAGATGTTGTCTCTCTCAACGACTTTGATGCTTTTCACACGCAACTCCTGCAAAAAGTTTATTCCCTTACTTTTTGCTTTGAATAGTCCTAATTTCAACCAAACCAACGCATAATAATATCAAAAGGGACACATAACAACACCGTTCATATCCGGCCAAAAAAAGAAATATAATTCCTCTTAATTATATAAATAATATCTTAAAATATTATAATTTTAATAAAATTTTAAAAATTTTTTATTATTTAATTTTAAATTAAAAATTTATTTTATTCTTATTATAATTTTTTATTCAATTCTTATAATTTTTTAAATAAAAGTTATAATTCTTTAAATAAAAATTGTGAATAATATTTTTTATTTTAAAAACTTATTCTTGCATATATAAATTACACTTTATAAATCATATTTTTTTATTTAACTCTTACAATTCATAAAATAAAAATTATTATTTTTTAAAATAAAAGTTATGATTGAGTTTTTTTTAATAACAAAAATCATACTTAATAAGTTGTGATTTATTATTTAACTTTTGTGATTTATGAAATAAAAATTATAATTTTTTAAATTAAAATTATAATTAGGACTTGTTATTTTCAGTAATAATAAAATAAATTTTTTATTTTAAAATTTATTGATATATATGTCTTTAGGGACTTCATTAAAATTATAATATTTTAAAAGATCAGACTATTATTTATATAATTTAAAAAATTTATTGTCATTTTTTTAAAAATAAAAATAAGTCATAATTTCTTATATAAAAAAGTGTTTTCATTTTTCATAAATGCTTTTATTTTTTTAAAAAAATTATTTTTAACCCGATCATTTTTCATAAATAAAAAATAGACACATACTTTATCGCTATCGAGTTTGAATTCAGGAATCCTTTCAAGAGACGTGGGATTACGTTAGTCAATAAAACAACTACTGTTGACTAAAGCTCATGGCTGTTTAGTGTTGTGTCTATTTACAACTATGAGCGTCATCTATATAAATGTTTAAAAAAAAACCCCTTAACCTCCTAACTCTTCTTTATTTAAAAAAGAAGAAGAAGAAGAAAACGTATGTATTCACACAAATATATTAATGTCAAGTTTAAACTTGAAATCACTTCCAAATGAAAGAAATGGTATTCATTGTGACAACAAACAGTTGACTATATAAATAAATATGATAGAGAGAATTGATCAACTCAAGTTAATATTTTGTTTAAATTTAGATTGAAGCTGAGATAATCACGTTTGCTGTAAGATAATAATTCATGTTGTAATTTCTTTTTTTATGATGCAAAGCGATGGGGGCATATATACACTACAGTACTTTAATGTTGCATTGACTTGGGTATGCGAAATAAATATGTGAAACAAGAAAGGAGGTAAAGTGAATGTCAAAGTCCTTTGCTTTCGAGTTGGAGTGAGAGGAAGACAAAGCATTAAATTTAAAATAAATTGAGAATGGCTCAATTCAATCCATCTCCATCTCTATCTCTACAGGTCGAAGCCGTCCAATTAATAGCTTTCCAATAAATTCACCCACCAAGTTCAACGGAAATTGCTTACTGCAATGCCAAATAACGAATGCCTTTTTCGCCCAACCAATCAATGGAATGTTGTTGTATAAATACAATGCACATACAGCAATTATTTTTTTATTTTATTTATACATTACTCTTAAAATATTTTATTAAGATTAATAAAATTTTAAAATTTACTAATTCTTTTTAAAAATTTAATAATTTTTTAAATTTATCATTGTCAATATATATACTTTAATAATATATTTTTATTATTAATATTCAGTGGGGTAAACAAGAAAAATTATAATAAAATATCTATACATTACTCTTAATATATTTTATTAAGATTAATAAAATTTTAAAATTTACTAATTATTTTTAAAAATTTAATAATTTTTTAAATTTATCATTGTCAAATATATATACTTTAATAATATATTTTTATTATTAATATTTAGTGGGATAAACAAGAAAAATTATAATAAAATATCAATAGCATGCCTTATAAATAAAATAAATAAAATCATTCTTTCTAGAGCTAGTAATTTATGTGAGCCAGTATGAATAAGTCTAAAAAATCTTAAGATGAAGCTTAAGAGTTTATAAAATTTTCATTAATTTAAACCTTTTTTGAAAGTTTGAAGAAATCTAAGCAAAACTCAAACTCAAATGAGTTTAGCTCAAATTCCTTTTTTATTATAAATAAAATTAGCATTCACCACAATTTTCACTTAATACCAATAAACCCTCTCACATACTCCCATTTTGTACTTCTAAATAAAGTTTTAATGTTCTAATAATTATTTATTTTTAATATTTTTTAAAGTATTGAGAAAAAATAAGCACAAGAGGTTATTTTTTATGTTTTCACTTTTATTCTTTTAATACTTAGTCTCACTCTAATAAGGATAAAAAAGGTTCACTGTAGTGTCATATCGCTTGAAAAATTATAATTTTTTAAGAAAAAAATTAAAATTGACTCAAAAAAAAGAAAAATAAAATAATGTTTAATAATTTTAATATTTGGGTGCTCAAACATACCCAAAATGTTAAAACTAAGCTTAATTATTTATATAAATTTTTTTATGTGTTTGAATATTTTAAGTGAGACTTAATAAATATGCTCAAACTAAACTCATTTCAAATAAACTCAGCCCACTCATCCGTTTTAGTTCTTTTCCCATCTTATAAATAAGATGAGAAGAAAACTCATGTCATAATCCTTTATAGAAGGTTCCGTCCTAGACGTTATTATGAGGAGGATGACCAGAAAGGTTCACTCATTAAAGTTTAAGGAGTGAAGAAATGCAAACACAGTAAAATTTGGCATGACTTGGCACGGAAATAATTACGAAATGTTAAGGCCAAAATGAGTACAGAGCATCGATGAAAAAATTCTCAAGAAATATTCTGTGACCTCATTAAAAAAATAAAAAATCTCTCAGTTTTGTCTTTAGCCTAATTTTCCACTCATGATCTTATTAATTAATTAAGGCGTGACGCTTTAAATGGGTCCTCCATTTATAAACACTTTTGATGATAACTTCATCACGCATCATCTACACCAAACAGGGCATTTACGATTATCTCTTTCTTTCAGTAGGCACAATTCCAATTTCTTATTTTTCCTCATCATTATTTTCCAAAAAATTTTCCAATCCCAATATGTATATATGACATGTATCTAGCAGGTTGAGTATTTGTCCTCGTTTAATATGATATCGTATGTTTAGCGGGCTGATATGATATGCACATGTATAGTGGGCTATGAGTATATTGATCCCTAAATAATTTTATATATTTTGATATGTGGGTTGAGCAAATGGTTCCATGATATGTCATTTACGAATATCATATGGTTTATGATATGCAATATATGATTATGAAAATGAGGGCAAGTACCCCATTAACAAAAAGTTAATATAGCTTTTATCTATACATGAAAAAAAAAAAATTACGCATAACCTTATTAAAAATTTCACTTGCCACCTCTAAAAAAAATTTCATTTGGTTCCCAACCTAAAAGAATTTATGTTTGACCCTATTTATTTTTTTAAAAAAATGTGAAATATATATCTAAAAATATAGTTTTCTTTTATATTTATTACAAAAATATAGTAGATTTTTAAATATTTTTTGGAAATTTCAATTATAGGTACCTACCATTTTTTAATAAGCGTGATGCTGATTAAATTTATACTGTATTAAGGGTTAAAGAGAGTACATACACATTTTTAACAGAATTTGTTGTAGTCCAATTGGGAAATTTAAGGCTTGTTGGGCTAAGTCAAGTCACTTAGGCTTAACCTATGCACAACTTGAAATTTTGGGTTGTGACCAAAAAAAAAAAAATCCCACAAGTTAATTGAAAGGGTCCCACATAACACATGCTAATGAGGCAAAGGGTCCCATATAACACTTATCACCATTGCAAGCCAAAATCCATCACCTAGTAGCATATGCTTTCTCATTAATCACTCCTATATATGCATAATAGACGATAATCATGTCATCAAGCTAAGGTCAAACTTGAATCAAACGCTCACAATAATAATAATAAGAAATTTCACATACAGCTGAGAGCAACAGAGAGACCTATATTATCTTGCTCATCAAATTAATTAAATATATATCGATGGCTCTTCACTCAAAGAGAGTGAAGTTTAGTTTTTTGTTCTTTTAATTTAATTGCTCTCTCTCTCTCTCTCTCTCTCTCTCTCTCTCTCTCTCTCTCACATATAATATTGAGTGGTGCAATTATTAGCTTCTTGTGACTGGCTGATTGAAATCTAAGAAGAGAGGGGGGAAATGAAATACATATATATGATATTATTAAAGACGAACTCAACTTAAATATTATCCCTCAACAAAATTTAAGAAGCCATAAAAAAGAATATACTTCCGCTAATTTTAAATACCACAATATATAAGTAAAGACATTGTACTAAGTTGTAACATGCAGCAGGAAAGGTTTGATTTCCATATACATATATAGGTTTTTTATTTGAAACAATATCTTATATGCAGTACGTGGTACCAATCATATTCAAGTATTGCCATATTTAAATAGGAGCATACCTCTCAAAAATATATTGTACTCTCCCCTTAGTTTGATACCAAGACCTATCAGTCATGCATAGATTTTACATTTTAATTTTTAGTTAAGATGTTATGAATGGAGAAAGACAGCTCGAAAACAGTTGGGAGATAACAAATCATATCTCAATTTAAAAAAAAAAGGTAGTGATGACCACCCAAAAAGTGAAGAAAAAACAAATGAATAACAACAATAAAATGACATTATATCTTAATTCAACATCAAAACTTAAATTGTAAATCTTTCCATTTTATTATATATTATTAATTGAACTTAATTTTATTTAATGGGAAACTTTGATATTGATTCAAATTCACTTACATTTAAACATATTAATACCAGGGAAGAAGGAAAAAGTTTCCAGTAACCACT